TTGTCTTCTAATGATGCAAGTAACGCGCCATAAGTCGTCTGATTGACAGTTAAACGCTTGCCGGGGCTATTAGCATAATCAACATTATTATTAACGGCACTTCTCACCTCTGCCGAGATCTGCATTTTAGATTGGCGCGCATTCGTCTCACGGGATTGGCAAACAGCGAGACTGGAGCTTGAAAAACAAAAAAAGAAACCGCCACCTCCGCGTTTTCTTCTCCGTTCGTCGCCGCCGCCGCAGAGCGAACCGACGTAACGTATAAAAGCGTTCGATATATACAACGAGAGAGGAGAGAGAACGCGCGTCGACGACCCAGTCACCCCGTTCTATTTCGGTCTCTTGCGCGGCGGCTGGCTGCTGCTGCTGCTGCTGCTGGTGCTGCTGCTGCTGCAGCCGAGCGAGCTTTTAAACGTGCGCCCCTCCTCTAAACGCGCGTATACAAGCGCAAGTCTTTGTATAATCGTAGTCGAGGAATTGAATAATTTTCGCGCGCGAAAGTTTGTCTGGCAGACAGAAAAGGAAAGGAGCGAGAGCAAAAATGCAGCGGCGGAGGAGGAGGCGGAGGAGTTGATTGAACCGCGCGGCGCGTCGGCGGTGTGCGCGCGACTTTAGAGTCTGCCCTCGCTCGTTTCGCGCTCGTTCAAGGTCTCGTTCGCGTCACGCTGCGTTGGATATACACCACACTCGTGCCCCCACCTCCTCCTCCTCTTTAATACACTTGAGCGACGCGCGCAACTCCTCCTTATCGCCGCTGCTCTCTCTCGCTCTCTCTCTCTCTCTCTCTCTCTCTCTCTCGCTCGCTCCTCGCCACTAAGAAAACTGAAGAAACTGGTTCTCCGCCGCTCTCTCGCGCGCGCCTACAGCTCGTTTTCTTGTTCGCTCGCCGGATTTTTCGCGGTCTTTCACATCGATAGGCAAGGACAAGCGGCGCACGATAATAAAAAATGCTAATGGACTGCTCGCAGCGCTGATTAGAGAACGGACGGCATTTGCATTCGCTAAAGAACGCGTTCTTCTTTCTGCTCCGCGCAAAAGAAGAAGGCTTATCGTTGTGACTCAGAGGTGCGGAGTTCATCGTTTCGTCAGTTTTTTCTTTTCCTGCAAATAAGGCGACACGAGCACTCGCGAAAAGTAGGTTAAGCCAGGCGACGAATCGGGCGGCGATACGAACTGTCAGTCCGGCGAATGAAACAGCGGAGGGCCTCGCTTCGGTCGATCAGCGCAACAATAGCGAAATACGAAAACATTCCGATCCCACGCGGACGGGCGGGCGGGCGGACGCACTCTTTCACCTACTTTTGTCGACGGCGCGGCGCCAAAAACTTTCAAAAAACTGCGAGGAGTCGGCGCGAGTCGGGAGTTCCGAGCAAAGAAAATTTTCGGTACCGGACTCTCACCTTGGCCAGTTGAGCGGCCGCTACGGGCGCTGCTACTGCGGGGTTAGTGGGTCACTCTCACTGGGCGGCAGTGCGGGGGGAGGGGGAGGGCGGGGGGGGGCGCTGACAGTTTCGATGCAGCGGCCAGGCGGCCAGGTGCAATGTGCGCGCTTGGTTCAACGATCCGCTGCTCTCCGTCAGCTGATGGCTGCGCGTACCGCTTTTCAGCTCTGCCCTCGCTCGGATCTGTAAATTTGGGTCAAGGCATCTCCGTTCGTACACGTGGCTGCGCCCGCGTATTATAGTCCTCAACTGGAATTTCGCCACGCAGATATCTAAAGATTTATCTGATTCGAGTTGAGCGGATGCTCGGGGGAAAAAAGCGAATAAGCGGCTCGTTCTCGCGCGTGCTCCTCTGACCGTGTCGCTCGCCGAAAACCAAGAGAACAAGTTTATTATATATCGAGCACTTGGCCCCGCGCTCGCTCTCCGTGCTAAAGCAGACGCGTATATTATCATTATCGGGGTCAACGCGGAAGAACAGGATGGCATGATGCTGTCGTGCTTCGGTGAGCGATGACTTTTTAATATTTCACGCGCAAATGTCGACGACTTATTTCGACTACTAGCAGAATGTTTGACAATTGAGTATTCCGAACGGTTGGCCAAGCAGGGCAAACAGGTGTGTTAGTCGAAAGCAAAAAATTGCAAGGAAACTGTCGTTCAGAAAGAAATGACACGTAGTTTAGAAAGCTCCAAAAAGCAAAATGATTTGTTTGTACGGGCTACGCGGTCAAGCCCATTTTCATGCCAGCAGGTTGAGTTCAGTGTATATAAATGCAGCGCAATCCACGCCAAGGAAAAGAGCGGCGACCTATAATAATCATAAGAGAACCACTTGTGTCAATTGGCCGTCTCGCTCAGAATTCTAATTTAGAGAACAAATCAGTTACGAGGCCCATTATTGCATATCAAGCTCGAGGAGGAGGAGGAGGAGGAGGAGGAAGTCGACGACCCAATTCGGCCCGTGCTCTGCTTTCGCTCTTTAAAAAGCCATTTACGCTCATCGATGCGCGCCTCCAGTTGTCATTGACTCCAATTGGCCCTCTTTTTTTTCTCTTGTCGACAGTTCATTTTCGGCGCGTGTTGTCGCACACATCAAACGAATACCAAAGTCGACGCGTTTTTAGGAATTTCCATTTCTCCTTCTCTTGCGCCACAACTCACAACTCACGGGTTTGCCTGCGCTGCAGTTCCGAAAAAAGAAGCGAGACCGTGAACAATCGTCGCGATGAGTAATGCGCGATGATCTGCTCTCGCGACGACACCTGTAATAAAAGCAGAGTTGGCGCCTTTCAAAGAAATCCAAATAGATGTATTTAAAGAAGCAAGAATGATGGAACTGGCTGTCGGTCTATGCGCAGCGAACTGGAGCGTCAAGCGCGACTCTCTCTCTCTCTCTCTCTCTCGCGCGCGCGCGCGCGCATCCGTTTCCCCTCGACTCGACTCGCTTGGCTGAGTGCGGGCAAGGCCAGGGCCGCGCTGCTATACACCGAGAGAGAGAGAGAGAGAGAGAGAGAGAGAGAGCGAGCAAGAGAAGTCGCCGTATATGGCCTGCTGCAGCGGCAGCAGCATCGCTCTTCTTCTCGTGAGCCATTGTTTTCTATTCCTGGCATTCCACCCAACGCCAATCGTGAATTGACGAGCGAGAGAAAGACGTTTAATAATCGACGTCATAAGAAAATCCAAGAAATCTCGCTTTCACGGACAGTACCCTGGCAACGGAATAACGGTGAATTGGTCTCCAATGAAAGTCACGAGAAATCGTCGCACATTTACACGTAGCGTACCGTAGCCGGATAAGCAGGATGTGCATGCAGTAGGAAAGTTTGCTAGTCTTCGGCTTGACGGCGGTGCAAGCCCTGTATCGTCCTCGTGAGCTTGCACGAGTACAAGTAGCTGTCGCGACTCGGCCACTCGAGGCGCGTTGTACTGGACGAGCTTGCCCGGAAGTTAGGTAAAACCGTAGCAGAAGAGGAGAGCCGGCGGACGCGCGCGCGTGCGCGGCCGGGATAATGAGCTTCGCCTAAGCACACATGCACAGAGACTTCAATGCCGCACCGATGCGCGCTCTACGTCTATAAATACTTGCGCAAGCGTTCAGTTCTCTCTGGACAGAAACTCGCCTCGGCGGAGTTTCGCAGACCGTCGACCGTCGGGCCGTCGCGCTTTGCGAGCCAACGTCATCTCGCTCAATTGCCGTGACCAAGTGCCAGCAATGTCGGCACAAACGACCGAGAGAAACAATGCGTTAGGAGGTACGTGGGCGAACGGCAGGCAGGCAGGCAGGCAGGCGCGCGGCTAGAAAGCAACGAAAAGCTTCGATCGAAAGCACATTCCTCCGTGCACTGCACCTCGGACAGAGGGTATGGCCGGTGTGCAGCGAGGAAAAAGTGAGCGAGGAGTCCAAGTTCTGCCAGCAGAGAGAGAGAGAGAGAGAGAGGGCCCCACTATATATAGACAGTCAGCTCACGTTCTCCAGAGTCAAGGACGCTCAGTGCTCTCTCTCGCGGGCTCGCTGGCGCGGAGAACCTGCTGCCCCCTCCCCCGGGCCGCCCCCACCCTAGTATTCTCTATATCTGGTGGCGGCCTAGGCATACCTCGCTTCTCTCGCCCAAGAAAATCAGGATTATATCCTACATACCTAGCTACCTACCTTCTCTCTCCCACCAAGCTACTGAGACACTGACCGCAACGCACGCTCGCCTCGGCTTTCCGTGCACACAGCGCGCAATATCCTCCACCTGACTTGTCCTCGAAAAACACTCGCGGCTTCCGCTTTCCACCATCTTTTTCTTTTTTCCCATTGCATTTTTCGCAGGCCGCGCCATTGTTGATTTCCAGAGTTCAACAGTCTCTCGCGAGTCGCGCCTTACTCAAGGCTGCCGACGCGGGTCAAGCAGGTCGCCCGCTTACCGACCCGTGTGCTTCTTTTATTATCGCGGCTATTCTCTTTTCGATTTCTTTCTCATTTACATGTCAGGACGTTCACGCTATATTGACTCGCCGCCGCGTACAGTCATCGGACTCTCGAGTACGAAGCAAAAAGAGCGAACGTTATTGGCAGTTTCTCTTGGACGCTCGTTATCTGGTCAGTCGTCGAATGCGGACCCGAACAATCGCCCGCAAGTGCAAATACGTGTCTCGAGTGAGCGCCGAGGCAAATACAGCGAGCGATATTTAGTTTCCTATAAGGTGCGACCCTCGGATAAACGTGTTTCCGATGACGAGAGCAAGAACTGTGCTCGTGGGCATGGAAAAACTGACCTTGACACATACTCGCGTCTCCCGATCGTCGGATCAAAATGCTGGTCAATCTTGGCGGCCTTTGGTGAAAGTGCGCCTGGCTGGCTCGACAAGAGACAGACCGCCGGTGAACGCGTTACCCCGCGGGACCAGACGGGGGACAGACTCTGCTCTTTCGAAAAGGAGCGCGAGCGTGTTCGGGGCGGGGGGAGCAGCGAAACAAGCGAATCGGAGTCGGGTCGCGGGCGCGCGTATTCACGTGGTGGTCCAAGCCGAGCGACTCGTTACTGATGCTGGTTTGCGCGATGCTTGCAGGAAGGGACGACCTGTCGCCACCGAGCTCGCTGAACGGCTACAGCGCCGACAGTTGCGATGCGAAGAAGAAGAAGGGCCCGACGCCGCGTCAACAGGAGGAGCTGTGTCTGGTATGCGGCGATCGCGCATCGGGCTATCACTACAACGCGCTGACCTGCGAGGGTTGCAAGGGCTTCTTCAGGCGCAGCATCACCAAGAACGCCGTCTACCAGTGCAAGTACGGCAACAACTGCGAGATCGACATGTACATGCGGCGCAAGTGCCAGGAGTGCCGGTTGAAAAAGTGCCTGCACGTAGGCATGCGACCCGAGTGCGTGGTGCCCGAGTTCCAGTGCGCCGTCAAGCGCAAGGAGAAGAAGGCACAGAAGGTAAGGGGCGGCGCTGGTCACGTAGCGTAGCGCGCGGATGCTGTCGGTGCCGCCGGCACATCCAAGCAGCGCGCATTCGGATGAAAATGCAAAATGGCCGAGCGCCTGCGTAAAACATAGCCAATAGAGTCGTGGCCTAGAATAGCATGCACCGCGTGCAAAGCAAATTTCTGAGTTACCGACGACGCCGTGCCGCGAGGGTAAACAGGTTCTGCAGGAGCGAGAAGCGGCCCTTGTTCTTCGCGGTGAGCTACGTAGACCACACGGCCGGGGCTGTGCGTACAGTTGAACGCTCGTGGAAACAATTTGAACGTTTTACGGATTGGCCGACAGTGGACCGATGCACTCTTGCTCCTCGCTGACCTCCGATTAGCTTATCGAATACCTTTTTTTCTCGCTCCGGAAAATCGCCGTAACCAATTACCGATACCGGTCGACAGGACAATTCATTCGCTTTTTTTTAAAAGACTTGCATGGAAAAGTTGGATTTTTTATGCAATAGCTGGATCGAGTGAGAGGCAGAAAATTTGCATCAATTAGCATCTAATTTAGCTGCCACAGAGACTTGAACAAACGCTCGGCCTCGAGTCCAAAACGAACTGAATCCAACGCGCATATTTCCATAAATCATTAGGCTGATCGAAAGAACTAATCGACCGACTGGCTTCCCATTGATTTCTAGGAGAAGGACAAGCCGAACAGTACGACAATGAACGGTTCCCCTGGTGGCCTGGGTGCCGAGCCGATGGGCGTGAAAATGGAGCCAGCGGAGGCGGACGGCTACTCGATGTCGAGTGGCAGCGGCGTCGTCGCCACGATCGGCTCGGTCAACGGCATCAACTACGTCAGTCCCGAGCAGGAGGAGCTCATCAACAGGCTCGTCTACTTCCAGGACGAGTACGAGCAGCCAAACGAGGAGGACGTCAAAAGGATCACGGTAAGTTCGTGTTACAGTTAGAACGGCACATTGACGAAGGTGCGGAGCGTCGGAGTAAACCCACGATTTTCACAGAACGCGACGTCGGAAAACGAGGACCCCAGCGACGTGAGGTTCAGGCACATCACCGAAATCACGATACTGACGGTCCAGCTGATCGTCGAGTTCGCCAAGCGACTGCCGGGTTTCGATAAGCTCCGCCACGAGGACAAAATTGTCTTACTGAAAGCCTGCTCGAGCGAGGTGATGATCCTGAGGATGGCGCGCAAATACGACTACCAAACGGACAGTATAATATTCGCCAATAATCAGCCTTACTCGCGCGACAGCTACACCCTCGCCGGCATCGGCAACATCATTGACGACCTGCTGCAATTTGGCCGACTCATGTACTCCATGAAGGTCAACAATGCCGAGTACGCACTGCTCACCGCCATCGTCATATTTTCAGGTACAGTATCATTTGCATTTTAATTGGCTTCATTATTCGCTCGGTGAATTTGCATCGGTTTGAGCGATGCTAATGCTTGCCGTTACGAAACGGCCAGCGTCATTAATAAACAAACGACGTGTGCGTTGCAGAGAGGCCGAACGTGTCGGAAGGCTGGAAGGTCGAAAAGATCCAGGAGATCTACCTGGACGCGCTGAAGGCCTACGTGGAAAGCAGGCGAAAGCCCAAGGCCTCGGCGATGTTCGCCAAGCTGCTGTCGGTGCTCACCGAGCTGCGCACCCTCGGTAACCAGAACAGCGAGACCTGTTCGAACCTCAAGCTCAAGAACAAGAAGCTGCCGCCATTCCTCGCGGAAATCTGGGACGTGGCGTCCTAGTCGGCGAGCGTCCATCGACGGCATTGTCGTCATCATCAGCAGCAGCGAGCAAGAAGCAGCAGCAGCAACAGCAGCAGCAGCAACAATGTTGTTCGATCGCGCTCGACGTTTGCACTAGTGCACCACTATGCCACTGCCTCGACGATCGTACGACTCTACGACATCGCCACCGTCGCCGCCACGCTTAATACTGCTGTCTATTATCTAACGCCGCCGTTACTACTCTGCGAACTCTTCGACCTCTTCTTTTTATTCTTACTACTCTTCATTATTTACTTTTTCTTTTCTCTCCTCGTCGTCGCCGTAGTCGTCGTACGTCATCTCTATGTCTCTGTCGTTTTTGTCTTAGTCGTCGTCGTATCCGTTACAACGCAAACATCCACAATGATACACACCAACAGTCGAGCGAGAGAACTTCGAGGAGAGAGAACGAAAGGTAATTGTTGCGCGTCGCCATCGTCACCCGCGGGGAGAAGCAGTTGTTGTTGTTGTTGTTGTTGTTGTTGTTGTTGTTGTTGTTGTTGTTGTCGTCGTCGTCGTCGTCGTCGTCGTCGTCGTCGTCGTCGTCGTCGTCGTCGTCGCCGTATCGTTAGCGAGGTATAGGGATTGAGATGAGACGTTTACAAAGGCAGTGGCGAAGGCACCCAGGCTGTGATAACGTAGAAACAGAACAGAGACTATAAGGAGCTACCTACACTTATATATTATCAAATGAAACAAGAAAAAAACAAATTATATATATATGAAAACAAATCTATATATATATGTGCGTATGTATGTATATATATATGTGCGTATGTATGTATGTATATATATATGTATGTATATATGAATATATATTATACATATAAAAGAAGTTTATCCTAAGGGATAGCCCTGATATCGATGCATAAGTGTAATGTATAGGTGTAAGGGATACGTAGTGCAGTTACGCGAGTGAGATGCTGTGTGTACGTGTGCGTATGCGTGCGTGTGAGTGTGTGAGTGTGTGGAGTGCATATGAACGACCGAGAATGAGTGCGAATATTGTAAAAAAGCGTGTCAGCGGCACGCGCATGATGTCTTTTTTTTTCTTTTCTTCTGAGACTGCGAGCTGGTGGCGCTGTTGAGCAGCTGCCTCCAGTGGCTTTGAGTCACGAAATATACAACAAACAAACGAGCAAGAGTGCGAAAGTGAAGCAAGCGCGATTATACGATTATAATGGAGTAACGCATAATTCAATACGATAGAGTCTATATCACAAGAACTAATGAAAAAGTAAAATTAATTACACACACATAGCATAATAATATATTGCTAGCATGTACGAAGCGCGAGTAGATAGAGAGCAAGAGTATGGCCATCGCGTATGTATAGAGAAATAAAAAACCTGAGCATAGCCCGCCGAATTACAAAAAGTCTTCGCGAGGATAACAAAACGAACGTTGTTTGCATCTGCTGAGAGATGAGGGAGAAAAGAGATTTAATAGTAGGTCTCGTAGTCAGTCAGCTTAGAATTTAGGTGACCCGAGTTCAAGTGCAAAGCCCTGTGCCTTCAGCAGCGGACATCGGTTCACCGACGGCAAGATAAAAATAACGAAATAATTAACAAACATACAAAAATAATAACAAATGTAAGAAGAAATATGATGAGAAAATTCAACCGTCCGCTTAAATTTTTTAACGAGAAATCAACCGGGAGAAAGCGTTTAAATATTGTAAAAATCCGATACGAAGCTTCATAATAATTAAGTAGGATCACAGAGGAGAACGAAGTTAGATGACACTAATGTGCAAGCTATTCGAGCAGACGAGAGAGAATGACTATATGAGATTTTTGAAAGGAGATGCACGCAATTTTCAATGCAATCTGTGGAGAGAGAAAAGCAGAGTGCGTGTATGTATGTGCATATGCATGAAGTTCGTATTAATTGATAAATAGGCATGAAAGTCGGCACGCACTTGACCCACTTGGATCGACGCAATATGCTAGCGAATTTTAGAAAATGAGTCAACAAAAAAATAATTTTAACATCGTGGGCGACAACGATAAAACCGTTATAATCGAACTTGGAGTTAGGACGAGAAAAATTTTATTTTTGAACGATAGATACACTGTTGTTTAACATGCTGACACACTTACACACAATTAAAACAACCAACACCGTAAAAGACGCGTTTAATTTAGTGCACGGTACAATGAAAACAAAACAAAAATGATGAAGAATTTTGGCGGCATATATCCAAGTAATTCGAATGCGCGCACACAACAAACTATATAAGAATTTTCGATGTTGTAATTCCGTAATTCTATGCTATTCAAGTGGATCTTTAACAATTATATTCTATAGTGAGTACGATTTCTTACAGTTTTAAGTGGCGTACTTCTACGGCCGTATATTGAAACGCGCTTGCGGACTTCTTTGGGTTTCACGTGCAAATATAAAGGAACGAAAAGTAAAAAGACGCAAGTGGTCATAACTTTCAAAGTCAATTTTTTCGGTTTTTAGTCGTCTTCTTGGCACGAGTAGGATATAATTGAAAGAGATGCAGAAGTAAAATAAATTTTTAAAGTTTCTTTGGTAAAAATTATTTTGGGGGACTAGAGGCGCAATATTTTGAATGAAAGAAAAATCTTATATTATTATAATAAGACTGCATGAGCGTGTGTCTTGACTACAAGACAAAATATATAAGTTATTAGATCGTTGTGACGAGGAATTTTCCGAGAATACGCAATTCCACTTGACATTGGTGTTGAGAAAAAAATTTCGATGCATATATTATCATTATATGTAGTAAAAATCAAAAAATGAAATTTTTAAAATTAAGTTCGCGAATGTCAGTTCGTAAGAACAGAGCCCACTCAGACACGTACACATTAGAAATTAAAGACACGAAATGATTGTAAAAAAATTCACAGAAAAACACTTACAAAGGCATGTAAGAAGCGCGGCAGTTGGAAATAAAAATATTGACATTAAAAACAGTTATGTAGATACATGTTACGTTACGGTATAACATAAGTGCGACATGTCATTTTACATAAGATTTTTGCTACCGTCGCCATTTGGCGGTCGGGATTCTCTCGAGCGATCATGTTCGATAAAGAAAAATACTTGAAATGATTTATATATATATGTGTGTGTGTGTGTGTGTGTGTGTATACGCACATATACATTAAAAAAATAGTGAAATGTAAACATAATAATAGAGACACGAGAAAGTAAAAACGTATTTTACCAATTGCCAACTGATGAAAAACTGCTCGAAAAATAGAAGCGATATCTAAACAAAGAAATTGTATTGATCGAGATATAAACAATTAGCCATCAAATTTGCGACCTTCGAACGGTAGAAAAGAAAGAGAGAATAAAAGCAGCTACATGCCGGTCTCGCGTAGACAGAAACTACATAGCAGAACAAAAAAAAGTAAACTAACTACGTAACGCCACAAGGCAGACACTGCCACGCCACGGAGTGAGCATGCGAAATATTAAAAAAAAGTTATACCGCAAAGAAATGAAGTAAAAAATATTAACGTCATTGTTCAAATTGAGAGAGAAAACGAGAATGAAGCTTTACTTCAGTTTGCAGCGTGTATCTTGCAAAGTACACGTAATACGGAGGGGAAAACAAATCCACGTTAGACTCGGAATCATTGTTTTCGGAGTGGCACTCGCTTGCGAACGGTTCGATTAAGCATTTCAATATTCGGTCAATCATCGTGTACAGAATGATATAAAACAGAAGCTACATCGTCACAAACAAACCTATATGCTTGATTTTAACATTGCGTTCGTGTTTAGCGAAAATATGGGAGGACGTTACGAGCTCGCACGAATTAGTTTGCGCTGCACGTCTTAGTTGACTTATTATTATTATTATTATTATTATTATTATTATTATTATTATTATTATTATTATTATTATTATTATTATTATTATTATTATTATTATTACTATTATAATATTAATATTATCATTTTTATTATTATTGTAAATTGAATTACTCCTTTTTTTAAAACGAATTGCCCGTTATTAATTGTACATTATCGACAATATATTTTCTATTATTCTTTAATTAAGCCCTGTAAGACATTTATTTTATTGACACTTGCTTTTCTACTAACATTCGAATTATTCTCCGCTAACAATCTATTTACCCGATGCATCATTTAAGCTGATTTTTTATATCGAATTGCAGAAAAATATTATATTGCGTTTATTGTGCAGGTTTCAAAAATGCTTTTTACTTCTTCACAAAAAGATTTTTTATCAGACAAATTTTTAACGCCACATAATCAGTATAATTGATTTGCAACAAAAGTTTTATTCACACGTAAAGGCAACTTTTAAAAGGAAAACAAGGATTCTTAACGTAAAATTGGTTTTAGTTACTATATATCTTATTTTAAGAATAAAAAAGCTCGTGCATGTAACGTCCACCAGAAAATCGTTCATGCGCATCACAATTAAGCGTGAATCGCGAATCGCGAATCGTAACACACAAAACAGCTCATAGTCGTCTTTGTAAAAAAAAGTGCATACGTAACGAGATATCCACACACACACACGCGCGCGCGCGCGCGCACGCTCAAACCTTTACAATAAAAACACTGACATAACAGTAACAACTTCATTGCAAAGGAAAAATTAAAGATTTTCATTGTATATAGACTTTGTCGCGTGTCACGTGCGTACCTGCCATTCCACGCGCGGAACTCCCCTTATATTATAATATCATGTTATCGCTCAAGGTTGGTCGGCAAAAAAAGTGCAAAAGTTCATCGCCGGATGAGATAGCGAATGTGTTTAGGATAAAGAAAAGAGGAATTAGCTAAAGTCTCTCGCGATATAACGTAACATTACCTCTCGTAGCTTTTGCGCTCCTGATAAGATCGCGAAGCATTCTCTCACGCCGGTATATGAAAATGAGAAAAACCAATTGCATACTCACATTTGTACACATTGACGTAGAAGACTTTGTAAGAGAGAGGGATAAGTACAACGGTTTAACGCTCACGCTGTTCG